GGGGAGAGATAAGGCAATCGAAGACAGTGAGGTAGTGACAGATGTGACAGTCACGAGTGAGCAGAAAAGCCAATTACTTAGAATTTTAAACCAATATCTGGTTTGTATTGCGGACGATGAATCGCAGATAGGTTGTACGAACGTTTTAGAAATGGAAATTAAATGGAAAGACGATGCACAACCTTTTCATGTGAAACCGTACCGTTTAAATGCTCAGGATCAAACGGATTTAGATAAAATAATCGGAAAATATAGAGCTGCGGGTTTAATTAAGGATACGAATGCCGAAATTGTTAGTCCCGCTTTTATAGTGAGAAAGCCGGACGGTACACCTAGAATGGTCGCGGACTATCGAGGAGTAAATAAAAATACGATACCTTTTCATTTTCCCATACCGAATATTGACGACTTGTTAGAAGATTTAGTCGACGCTAAATTGTTTATTAAATTAGATTTGGCGCTTGGGTATTTACAGATGCCTTTAGAGGAAAATTCGAAGAAAAAAACCGCTTTTATTACAGAAACTCAAACTGGTCAGTTTGAGAGGGCAATGTTTGGGTTGTCGAATGCCCCCATGTATTTTGCCAAATTAATTGATCGCGTTTTAGGTATTGCTAGAAGAAATAAAATCGCGTTTATGTTCTTTGATGACATCTGTATTCATGCTCGAGATTGGAATACTCTAATTATAAATTTAAAGGAAGTTTTAGAATTATTAAAAAGCGCTCGACTAACGTTGAATTTAAAAAAATGTTCTTTTGGTATGCGGCAAGTTGACTATTTAGGTTATACATTAGGTGCGGGTTCGATTTCACCAGGGGAAAGAAAGGTACGGGCAATACAGGATTTTCCAATTCCAAAGTCTAAACATGATGTAAGAAGATTTATCGGTTTATCAAGTTTTTTTCGACGCTTTATAGTAAATTTCTCGAAAATTGCAGCACCAATAACAGATTTATTGAAAGATAGCGAACAATTTGTGTGGTCTGATAGTCAACAAACGGCATTCAATAGTTTAAAAGCGAGTTTGGTAAATAAACCAGTTTTAAAGGTTTATAACCCGAAAGCAGCCATCACTGAGTTGCATACTGATGCATCTGCAGTGGGTTTGGGGGCTATTCTTTTACAGGCGGATAAAATTGATGAGAAAAAACGTATGGTTTATGCTATTAGTAGAAAAACTACTGAGATCGAGGCAAAGTATCATTCTAGTCGCTTAGAGTTGATGGTAATTGCGTGGGCGTTAAAAAGACTTCGTCCGTTCTTGATCGGTATACCGTTTGTTATTGTCACTGATTGTAGATGTTTAGTCAATATTAACGCTTGGAAAACTCAAAGCTCGCAGATTGCCAGGTGGCTAAGCGAAATTTCGGAATTTAATTTTGAAATTAAACATTCTCCTAGCGAGAAAATGCAACATGTTGATGCTCTCTCACGAGCGCCCATTTGCGAAGAAAGTTTAACAGTAATGACAATAGAAACTTGGGAGGATGAGATTCTTATGTTTCAAAGAAGCGATCCATTAATAAACGAAATAATAAATATTCTCCAAAAATCTGAATCAAAGCGAACGAAATTAGAAAGAGATAGAGTGAAGGATATGAAGTTGAGTGAGGGTTTGTTGTTTAAAAGGCATGTAGTTAATTCTGTAGAAAAAGATCTATATTTTGTTCCCAAATCGATGAGAAAATCTATTGCAATTAGATATCATGACTTACATAGTCATTTAGGAGTAGATAAAACGATTGATCGAATAAAAGATTTTTATTACTTTCCTTACATGCGTCGATATATTAAAATGCATATTCGAAATTGCCTTGAGTGCTTATTGGCGAAACGTAAAGCTGGTCGGAAGGATGGTGAATTGCACCCGATCCCTCCAGGTCGAAAACCGTTCGAGGTTGTTCACTGCGATCATGTTGGGCCGTTCCCAACAACATCTCGTAAAAATAAATATGTACTTGGATTTATTGACAATTTGACAAAGTTTATTGTAATTTTTCCGGTATCGAATGTGAGCGCAAGAGTGACAGTTCAAAAGGCAGAGGAGTTAGTTAATCAATTTGGTGCTCCTTATCGTCTAGTTACTGATCGAGGTACGGGTTTTACCGCGGATCTTTTTGAAAAATTTTGTGAAAAGCATGGAATCCGTCACACGTTAACTTCGAGTCGTCATCCCCAAGCTAATGGCTTGGTTGAACGTTTAAATCAAACCATTATTCCGATTGTAAAAATTGCTACTCGTAGTGATGAAAATCAAGATTGGGATAAATATTTAAAGAAAATCGCGAGAGATATTAACACGTCAGTAAGTAAATCAACCGGGAAAACCCCTTTCGAGTCACTCTTGGGCTACACACCTCGATTTGATGAGGGAAATCTTCGTGAAATTACTCATATTAATGAAACGTATGAGTCACCTAGTTCAATTCAGGAAAAAATTCGTGCAAATATTATTAGCGAGCAAGAAAAATATAAAGTGTATTTCGATAAAAATAAAAACAAAACGGTCAAGTACAATGTGGGTGATATTGTTTTTGTAAAAAGAAACCCCACTGCTACTGGTTTCTCTACAAAGCTTCAATCGGCTTTTGATGGACCTTTTGTTATTATTAGTCCCGAATTAAATGATACCTACCGTGTTAAAAAACTAAATGATTTTAGAGATAAAAATTTTGAAACTACGATTCACGTTAACCAATTGAAGCTCTGGCGAGGAATTGATTTGGATGAGAATGAAAATGAGAATTTCAAGGTCGCTACTGATACTACTAAAATTGTAAGTTCGGAGGATAGTTTGAGTGAGTCGGAAAGTTCGAGTGATGATAATAAATCGATTATAAGTGAGTGTAATGTTTTGAAAGAGTCTGATTTGAATGGAGAAGTTGTAAGACGGAGTATGCGAGTGCGAAATAAACCTCAACGTCTGCAATATTGTTGATTGCGTTATGATTTGGATTTGTAAATTGGAATTGTAAGTTGGAGGACCAACTAAGGTTTAGGATGACCGATTGTTAGAATTTAAATTTTCGTAGTTAAAATATTTTATACTTCCGGTGTTCCTAGTTTATTATTCGGAATTTGGAAATTTAGTTTACGCGGGATTTCTTATTGGTAAGCGAGGGAAAAGTAGGTTTGATAGTCTTTGGCGGGGCAGAGCCCTTTTGGAGAGCAAAGAGTTTGGTCGTGCGTTACGGAAACCAAATCTTGCAAATTGTATTTAGCGTCGGTCGAGTTGAATTGTAATTGTGTGTATTTTAAAGGCAGTATGCTGCGCGAATCTTAATTTGTTAAATCTTAAATCAAATTATTTTATTTCATTCTAAATAAACTGTGATTAATATTTTAAAATACAGTGGTAAAATCTCTGTGTCTTATTTAGCCTAAAACTCAGTTGCTTCCTTGTTAACCATTCAATTAAGATTAGAAAAATCTCTAACAAATATATGGGCGAATCTCTGGAACTTTTAACCTTTAAGTCCCTCACATTATTTTCACTTAAACAGCCTAAATATAAAAACTAATGATTTTTAAATATTTACATGTTTTAAAAAAGAAAATAAGGATTACGATTTAACCATTGATATAAATTATTTATTTTTTTTTTTTATGTTTTTCTTTATTAAAGTTCACAATACCATGATTTTGCAAGTGTCACTTTCACTTTTTCTAAAGGTATTTTAACTGTTTAAATAAAGTTTTTTTGGAAAACACGTTTTTTACTGTTATAAACTATTTAAAAAATCTTAAGAATTCCATAAACAAACTTAAAAAAAAATAAAAAGTAAAAATTAGAAAAGATATAATCTTCTAAAAAGTGTCCCTCAGTTTTTGTGTCGCTGGTCAAATCAAAATGGTTTTATAAAATAAACATTAAAAAACTAAATGAAAAAATTTGAAATAAGAGGCACAATTGAATTGTAATTCCAGTTTTATGTGCGTGATTTGTATTTTTATTTTCCACTATATTTTAAGCAAAATAATTGTTGGATACTTGTGATACTGGTATAGTACGGAAAATATGTCGCTGGTCAAATCATTAATTTCTCCAAAGTTTCTTATTTAATTTGCTCCAAAATTGGGGCACATATTACTTTAGATGTATTTAAAACTGTGCATATGTTTTTATTTATTCTAATTCTTATTTAATTATTTTTTTTACGTGGATATTGAAGTTTCGCATTTATTTGTTCCATGTTATTTATCACGAAGTAACCAAAAATGTAATAAAAAGTGGCAAAATGAAAGAAAATCAAAGAAAAGAAAATAAAAATCGAGAAAAAGGAAACGCGGAATGAAAAATTTATCAACGGAAGGCACTTAAGTAATATTTATTTATTATTTATTAAACGTTCATAAAACTGTTAGTGTTTTTCAAGGTTATATTAAGATCCTCGATATTTTTCAAAACAATTCAGCCAATCAAATAATTAGAAAAGTTCATGTTACTAATTCAAATAATTATACGTAAAAAATTTTCATTAATTTTTTTTATTGTAATTTTGTCCTTATTAGTTGCATTAGACGTTTATTATATTTATTTTCATGTTTAATTATGTTTTTGTGATACTGAGAAATAACTTACCTAAGTGTAGGAGATAAAATGTTTATGTATATATCTTGTTACAGATTTAGATAACCTAACATTATTTTCTTTCCAAAAATTTATATTTTAAAATTAAAGGCAACCAAATAATGGTTATACAGTAATAAAAATGAAATTTATTTTGGTCGAAGATGTAATACTAAAAATATTAAAATTGTGCTCACAAGAATTTTTTTAAAAAAATTCAAATTCAAATATTAAAGTTTTCAGAGATTTGCCCATATACGAAATCAAAATTTTGTTGTAACCCAGTGTTATTAAATGGAAAAAGGAAGAAGTTATAAACTTCAAAAAATTCCATATGTTTTTAATGATTTCCAACTACTGTAGAAACTAGGTTCTACTGTATTAAAATTGATAAACACTTATTAGTAATTAAACAATTTAATTTTACCTCTTGGTGATCCAGCCATTGTGACGTTTGGACTATTTGGACATTCTGGAGAAGGCGAATTATCATAACAGTCCATAAATTCTTCTTCAGTATTATTAGTGGCAGTGAAGGTAGCATCGACTGAATCTTGTTTACCATTTTGGTTGGTAATAACAGAGTTGGCAGTATTAATTGTCATCGATGATTGGCAATTTTTGGCAGGCTTCGCTACGTTCATTTGCTCATGTAATGAATCCAACAGTAGTGCAAGGAACTCTTGACAGTCGTGCTTTAAAATTACACCCAAGATACATTTTATCAATCAGAATCGTGCAAAAGAAAATATTTCTTATTGACTAATTTTTATGATAGTGTTATCTTGATTAATTATTTCATTAATTTTGTAAAATGATATTTTGCTTATTTTATCCTTTACAATATTTCTCATTTTTTTCCTTCAGTGGAAACGGGCCATTCATAAATTGCGTAAGACATTTAGGATGGGACAATCGAAAAGAAGGCACTTTTTACAGAGGGGGTACGTAATTTATGCATGGCCCCAAATTTACATTTTCTCCATATTTTGAAATATAATTTATGCGCCTAAAAATGTATTGACTTGTAATTAACAAGAACATATAAAACAAGAATTATTGTGAAATTAAGTGTAAAAGATAATGACAATTTTGGAGTATCTTTTAAATAAAAATTAGGGGCATCTTTAAAGACGGTAATTACTAATTATATTGAAAGGGGTACCATATATTTTACCTTACTTTCGATTGACCGATTAATTATTCATTTGTTTGAAATGAATGTAATCGATTAACTATTTGGGTCCATCTGTGGAAGTGATGATGGACTGACAAATGGACAATTCGTCAATTGAAAAGTAAGGAGAATATTTGTGACTCCCTGAGATTTTGAGATGACCTACTTGTCTGTAGTCCTTGAACTGTGAGTGGTAAGCTCCTAGGGACTGTTTAAATTCCGTAGGTCTAATGACGCTATGTCTACCAGACCACATTTGACTAAGTAGCGAACTAAAATGCGCCATTAAAGAACCAGGTGGTGGCAGTTTCTCCCCTTGCTGTTGTAAATCTATGAAATGTCGTAACACAGGAGGTGTGGCAGTGAGACATTGCAAGCCTGCAGCCATGAAGCACGTGTTACCAAGATTACGAAGGCCACAAACACCAGCAAGGGTTGTCTCTGCCAAGAAACACAAAGGTCGTAAAATCATTCTTTACTTTACATTCTTCTTCATTTCTTATTCGGAAATTATCTTTTTAGCACACTAGAACCATAAATGTGACTTCAGAGAGATGGCGAATGAATCTATAGACATAAATACCGACCTAGCACTATCATCTGTCTAAACAACAGTATGTTCACTCTTTTAATTTGTGCTTAATTCAAAAAGTAAATGCTCAAAAGTGGGGTTAATCAAATAAATATACAAGAGTGAACATATTGTGCTCTAACTTTTACGTTTTACCTCCAAAATTACACTTATGGTGCCGTTAGGATAACAAATTAGTATTTTATTATCATTGTATTCAAAATTAATTTACAAAGATAATTTTTGTGATAGTAAATAAGCAAAGAAGTTCAAGTTTATTTATATAATTATACTTCAATCTCTTAAGAGATTGACTAATTTCACAATTAGTTTTAAAAGCCAAAGCTGATTTTTGTTTCTCATCTAAAACGCTCAAATAAGACACTTATTTATAAAAGACATTTGCTGCTCCTTTCTTTTAGACACTTTCGCTTTTTTTAGTTGAAAATAATTGACTTTGCCTTTACTAAATACAATGTAGAACACATATCAGTAAAAACGGTTTTATAGATCAAACCGTCTAATGGTTCAGAGTTCTTGTATTTTATCTTGCATGGATAATTATTAAACAGGCGAATATTAAGGTGAAAAAATATTCCCATGTCTCAACATGCTACATACATTATTACGTAAATATTTGTTATATATATAACAATAACTGTTATACTTATTGAAATACTTTCAAAATTCAGAGATTTTTTTTATATAGTAAAAAAAATATTTATTACTTAAAATTTCATGTTTATTATTCATTATAATTATTTGTGTCAGACAATTAATATTAACATATATATGATTAATATAATAATTAATTAATATTAACATCATTTTGGCATTTATTTTTTTAATTCTATAAGTTGAATTATCTTAATTTTGACGCAAGTTTAAAAAAATAACAAATGAAAAGTTATTCTAAAGTAATAAAAATATTAAAATAATTAATAGAATAGGGGAGGATGGGTCAAGAATAGTTAGGTAAGACCTTTTCGGATCTAGCTACCAAACTTGAATATGTATCTGCAAATGAAAAGTATTTTTGGAAAACCTGGTTATTTGGCTATAATTTTGCTATACATTATTTTAATGTAGACTCAAATCCCTACGAGATACGAATGAAAAAGAAAAAAAATTTTAACTATCCTTGCCCCAGCACCGGGGCAAGGATAGTTAAAAGAATTCGAATGCAGGATTTTACCGTGCCGTATTATCTCTAACTATTCTTGCCCCGTGAGTCCATATTTCAGTTTTTTCTAAATTTTATGGAACAACATGAATTAATTTAAAAATAAATACGATATTCGTGTTCAGCAGGAAATTCCACTCCGGAAAACACTTACGTAAAGAAATATTCTGAAACTCTAATGTAGAAAACAATATGATAAACATTACGTCGACATTTTAGCAAAACAGACTTTTTTCAAAAATAAACTCCCAACTTCGCAAATGGTGACAGATTGACTTCCAATTTTTTACTATCATCTTTTGGTGTTAAAACGCGAATATACCATGAATTACGCGATTTTTGAGCAAGCCGTCTAAGCATAACAGCAACTAACTATCCTTGCCCCATCCTCCCCTACTTTAAAAATATAAAGATTTAATAGTAACATGAAATCGACCGGTTCTGTGGATATAACACAGAAAAAAATATGGTGCTAAAAACACATAAGCGAACTGTTGCGAATACTGCACGCACACTACCATACGTGATTTGCTTGGAATCCATCCTATTTTCGCATGGTGCGTAGCAAAAGCCTGTACGAGCCGTGTTTTTTCAGTAAACTCCTGTGTGACATTTGCAACAGTAGGCTCATGGAAAAATCGAACCAATAGGCTCCATGCATTATTCCGCACGCTATTTTTTTCCGTGTATATATGTATTAGGGTGGTTCTTATTTTGGCGATGTTTCCAAATTATCGGTCTCACCACAAAAAATTAAACAAGGTATACAAAAAAAATTTTCCTGAAAGTTTGAAGTAAACCGAACTATATTAACACGTGCCTCTAGTCGATTGAAATTTTAAATGGAAAATACATGTAATTTTTCCTGGAAATCACACAAAATTTTTTCTAGCTTATACAAATTTATTTAAAATTCTTTAACTTTGGGTGCCTTTAGTGCACTATAAGCGGTAAAACTTCCAATTATTCAAAAAAATTTTGAAAGTATTTGCTCCATTTACAAGCTTGATGAATATGCCGCTATCACAATAAACAGGAATAGTATATTAACACTCAGATGCACACATTATTTTATTCATTTAAATTTGACAAAACTCGGTACTTGGGGAGTTTTTCGGGACGCCGAATACGAATCTGATGACAGTTTTAAAAAATTCAAAATGGCAGCACCAATATGGTGGACATATGAAATAAGAAGTCATTCAATTGGACAGAAACTCGGTACTCGGAGGTTTTTGGAATCGCTGATTACGAATCTAAGTTTTTATTTTTTTACATTTTGTTGTATTTTTTTTATTTATTTTGCGTTTTTCTTTGCTTGTAGTCTGTTTTCTATGGCACATACTAAAACTAAGAAGGATCTCTTAGTCAACTATTTATATGAAATTCCAGAAAACATTTTCTCTCTGCTAAATCGCATAGATACTCATCCTTCTAGGGCATTGCAAAATTTTCGATTGAAAATCTTAGAAGAGTTGGTGACTCATAAAGTGCTACAATTGAAAGGTAGAAAACGTTGACACAAATTTCTTTAATCACAAAAAAAACAAAATAAAAATAAAAAAAAAGGAACTAAAATCTCGTCACTTCCTCGCTGTTAGTTCCGGGTAACGCTAAAAACGAGTAAGAAGATCCGCCATATTGGCTCCAACATTTTTAATTTTTTTAAACTGACATCAGATTCGTAATCAGCGCCCCCAGAAACCCCCAAGTACTGAGTTTCGTCAAATTTAAATGAATTAAAGAATGTGTGCATCTGAGGGTTAATATACTAGTCCTCCTGTTTACTGTGATAGCGGCATATTCATCACGCTTCTATATGAAGCAAATACTTTCAAAAATTTTTTTAAATAATTGGATGTTTTACCTCTTATTATGTACTAAAAAAGCACCCAAAGTTAGAGAATTTTAAATAAATTTGTATAAGCTAGAAATTTTTTTTTTGTGATTTCCAGGAAATATTACATGTATTTTCCATTTAAAATTTCAGTCGACTAGAGGCACGTGTTAATATTGTTCGATTTGCTTTAAACTTTCAGGAAAATTGTTTTTTTATACCTTGATTAATTTTTTGGGCTGAGACCGATGATTTGAGAACATCGCCAAATTAAGAACCACCCTAATCTTCTTATATTATATTAAAATGTTTCCTTCGTCCACAAAATTTTTCGTTCAACGTTTTCAGCAATATGTACACTAAAAAAAATATATATATATATATATATAAATATGTGACGCTCCACGAGAAAAGGGACCTTATGACTTACAGACGAATTTTGCAGGAGAGGCATTTAAAGTGGAACCACTCTGATTGTTCAAGACGTTTCATTGAAAGTCAGTCCCACTACTCACTTCACATTAATAGTTATCCAATGTTACACGAAGCGCATGAGTTGTACGTACATAACCTGTGTAGTTGTGTTAGAAAGTAGAGGGGCTGATTTTCTAAACAACCGGGTGTAAACACTCAAAAGGTTCATTTTTAAACATTGATAACAAAAAAACCTGTAAGTAGAAATTATTTTTGCCTTTTGTATATGAAAGAGCAACTCAAAAAGTACGGAATGATATAAATAACTCAAAATTAATTTTTTTGCAGCTAAGGTCCCTTTTCTCGTGGAGCGTCACATATATTTATTTATTTATATATTTATATTATATTTTTTTTATTTATACATCTACACAAATCGAATACTCAGGTATACTCACACATATGAATTCCTAAGAAAATTCTGAATTTTGGACGACGTTGAAGTCCACAACGTTTATCAACGAAAAATTTTTTTTTTTTTAAATACAAGATTTAACAAACAGATATCAAAAGAAAAGTCACAAACACAACAGAAAGCAAATATCAAAACTCAAAATACTAACAATATGTATGCAAACTAGACCAACTTGACAACAACATATATCTAAAAATTAGAGTTATGAATTGACCAAGGATTTTATTTTTGGAAATGACTCCTAGTGAGTCTCCTAATTATCCTGGAGAATTTCAAAAAAATCGCTGCCCGGAAACTCTCAATTTTTTGCCCTAAAAAATCGAAAAATTAGGTAAAAAAGAGAAAAAAAAATGGCAAAATTAGAGTTATCAATTGACCAACGATTTTATTTTTGGTAATGGCTCCTAGTGATTACCGGATGTATATATATGTGTGTGTGTAGATCCCGATTTTTGTGAACACGATAACTCGAAGAGGTTTTAACGAATTTGGCTAAAATTTACCAGGTATATTTATCATAAAAATATCTCCAAATGGATTGATAGACTTTAAAAAATTCTCAGAAAAAAAATTTTTTTGGACTTTTTTCTAAAAAATTTTTTTAAACTGGTTATTGAAGTTGATATATATTTAATTATTGCATATTTTTACTTAAGAAATTGATATTTGGTACAAATAATTATTTATTTGATGCTATAAAATAAAATATTTATGTTCAGTAAACATTTACTTATCTCAAATAAATAAAAACAAATAATTATAAATACAACCGAGCGAGCGTCAGCGAGTGAGGATATGTCGTTAGTATGTATATAGAAATCATTGTTAATATTATAATTATGCTGAATTACCACAAGGTGGTACTTATTCAGTTGCTCGGACTCTTTCAGGAAACCACATTCAGGCCCGACAAGAGGGGGGGGGCAGCAGGGGTAAATGCCCCGGGGCCCGGTCGCTCTGG